GGGGAGACTGAGATTGTCAAGACCGTTGGACATCAAGGGGGTAAGAACAACTACCAAAATCTGAAGATTGACTTCAAGGTTGAGATTCCTGTTTATGATGGGAGTATCAACGTGGAGAAGCTTGATGATTGGATCGAACGTATGGAGATGTACTTCACTCTCTACGGATATTCGTCCAAGGAGAAGATAGTGTTCGCGACATTGAAGCTTTCCGGGCACGCTTTGACGTGGTGGAAATCCTATTGCAAACAGGAGAGGAAAGCGGCGTCGTGGAACAAGTTCAAGGAACTACTTCGTAAACAGTTCTATCCAGTAGGGTTCCTTGAGGAGTGTTGGTACAAGTGGTACGGCTTACGCCAGAAGTTTAATCAGACCGTTCAAGAGTACACGACGGAGTTCCAGCAGCAGGCGATGGTTCTAAACATCGCAACAGACGAGTATCCCATCTTCATGAAGTACATGGCGGGTCTGAATGATTACATCCGGAAGGAGATGAAGCTGTTTTCAGTAGAAACCATCGCAGAGGCGAGTGTGAAGGCCATTGCCATTGAGGGCCGGCAGAAGAAGGGCAATGAGACAAAGGGGGATTCCAAACCATCGGGGAGCAAGACGGGTGGCTCTCAGTCTAAGGATGAGAAGAAGAAGGTTGACTCGGGGAAAGCAGGATTGACATGCAATCACTGCAAGCAGACAGGACATGTGGCTGATCGTTGCTGGGATAAGTATCCTCATCTGAAGCCAAAAGGGTTGAAGAAGAAGGAGGAGAAGAAGGCGTACGTAATAGCACAGGGTCCGAAGGAGGTTCCCGGGATGACCGAACCCAATAGCAGTCTCAACCTTATGGCGGGGAAGCAGGCCACCAAAGAAGATGACGACCCGAGGGAGCAGCTCTTTGTTCTGAAATTGCAGGTCAAGACCAGCTTAGTGGATGCTATTGTAGATCCAGGGAGTCAGAAAAATCTGATATCTGAGGCATTAGTACAGAAGCTGGGATTGAAGACGGTGAAGCATCCAAAGCCCTATCCATTAGGGTGGATTCAGAAGGAGGCGGGATTGAGTGTAGTGAACCAGTGTTCATTCAGATTTGCACTCCACGAGTCGTATATTGACGAGGTCACATGCGACGTGGTTCCGTTGGATGTTTGCCAAGTTATTTTGGGCAACCCTTATTTGTGGGATAGATACGCAGTATATGATCGGCGAGCCCAAAAGTATACGTTCACCAAGAATGGCGAGCAATTCATTTTTCGTTCGGCATCTCTTCCACAGGAGACGAGCTTGGTGACAGTGACTCAGGCTAAGAGGTTGGTGAACGCGGGCAGGAAGTTCGTTTTATTGTTCATTCGGCCGTATGAAGAGCAGCTGAGTAGGATGTGCTTGTCTACCTTGAGCAAGCGCCAGGAGGGAGATCTTGACAAGTTGAAGGTCAAGTATGCGGACTTGTTTTCAGAGATCACGGGACTACCGCCACGTCGAGGTGTAGAGCATGAGATTATGTTGACCGGGGAGAGTTCCTTACCTAACATAGGCCTATACCGTACATCAGTACTGGAGTCCGAGGAGATCAAGAAGCAGGTTCAGGAGCTCTTGGAGACAGGAGTGTGCCGAGTTGTTCGCCTTGCGGGTCACCAGTGTTGTTGGTGCCCAAAAAGGATGGAGGTTGGCGCATGTGCGTAGATTACCGGGCGCTTAACAAGATAACCATCAAGAATCGCTACCCATTACCGCGGATCGATGATCTTATGGACCAGTTGGAGGGAGCGAGGTTTTTCACGAAGCTGGATTTGAAGTCTGGTTACCATCAGGTGAGGATTCGGGAGGAAGACACTTGGAAGACTGCGTTCAAGACCAAGCAAGGCCTGTTTGAGTGGTTGGTGATGCCGTTTGGATTCTGCAATGCTCCGGCTACCTTTATGATGCTTATGAATGATTTGTTGCGACCCTTTATAGAGGATTTTGTGATAGTTTACCTTGATGATATCTTGGTGTACAGCAGGACTTGGGAGGAGCATCTCGTTCATGTGGAGAAGGTGTTTGGAGTGTTGCAGGACGGACAGCTGAAGCTCAACGGGAAAAAGTGCGAGTTCGGGAAGGACGAGTTGGTGTATCTCGGCTTCATCGTAGGGAAGGGCCAGCGGAGGATAGATCCAGGCAAGGTGGAGGTGATCACAAAGTGGCCGACGCCGAAGACAGTGACTGAGGTGAGGAGCTTCATGGGGGCTTGCCAGTATTTGCGCAAGTTCATTCGACATTTTTCGACTTATGCGGCACCGTTACATGGCCTCACAAAGGCTAAAGTTCAGTTTGAGTGGGGAAGGACGCATGAGGAGGCTTTTCAGTTGCTAAAAAGAAAGATCTCGGAGGCACCGGTGTTGGCATTGCCGAATTTGCAGCGGACTTTCGAGGTAGAGACCGACGCGTCTAATTATGCGATGGGCGCGGTGTTGACTCAGGATGGGAAACCGGTGGAATACCATTCTGAGAAGTTTTCGGGTGCTATTGCGAACTACCCAACCTACGACAAGGAGTTCTATGCACTATATCAAGCAATTAAGCATTGGAGGGTGTACTTGTTAGGGAAGGAGGTGGTCGTGCATTCGGATCATAAGCCGTTGGAGTTCTTACATGCCCAGACAAAGCTACAGCAGGCACGACACATGAAGTGGATGTCCTATTTGATGGCTTTCAACATCATTATTAGGTACAAGAAGGGGGCGACGAACAAGTTGGCCGATATGTTATCTCGCCCACCGATAAGGTCGTTGTTGGTGGCGACGCGTATTCAGCCCTTGGTTCCTTTGGAGTATGTACAGCTGTATGCATCTAGTAGGGACTTCGGTAGTGTGTTTGAGCAGGCGAAGGCTGGTCGAAGGGGGGAGTATGCACTTGGAGATGATGGCTTATTGTATCGTGGGGCATCACTATGCATTCCGGAGGATGGTGATAGGTTGCAGTGGATTCGGGAAGCACATACCTCGCGTGTGCAAGGGCATTTTGGCATTCAGAAAACGCTTCTCAATCTACGGCGACATGTGTTTTGGCCACGGATGCTTGATGATGTGACCAAGTATGTTGGAGGGTGTAAGTTATGTTGTATTTCGAAGCCTTCTAACAGAAAGAGGGGATTGTACCTACCATTACCGGTTCCTTCTAGGCCGTGGGAGAGCATTTCTATGGATTTTCTAGGAGGGTTGCCAACTACGAAGCGCGGGCATGACTATTTGTACGTTGTGGTGGACCGATTCAG